GTATGTCTTTGCATCTGTCTAACTTGGGGATCGCCAAGCAGTCATGACATAATACAACAATGTACAGGTTCGGTGCCTCTCAAATTGAGGGTTGAGGAACCCCTTCAAAACGAAAATTTGACGCACCCCCCCTCATTTTTGGCGACAAACCCCGACCACGCAACGCAGAGTGTGGCCCTCCAAAGCGAACAAGAATTGGCTGCACGTCCCTTGCAGCATGTCCCTAAGTTGGTTCACATGTCGGGCACCATGGAAAAGGCCACACTTGGAAATACATTATCTATTTGCTCGTCCCCCATCCCGATTCATATGGAATACAATGGTGCTGCAAGGCTCGTATGTTTCAACTCGTTCTGCAAAGCAGATAGCTAACCACTGGATTCTAGCTAGGCAGTGTTGAACTCCATGCCTAGTTCCAAGAAAGATCGCGAACTGCAGTTTGAAACGCAGGACTATCGTTTCCATTAGTTGGTTGCCTTCCTGAGCGTTTCGCAAGTGGTTCGCCCCCAAACAGAACTCCCAGACTTTTCTTCGTTTTTAGCAATGATGTTGTTCCCAAGGTCTTTCGATCAGATCGGTCAAGATGAGCCTCCCAAAAAAGGTTCTGGAAGGAGGCCAAGGTATTTGGAACCGCAGGTAGAGGGATGCAAGTGTGACGGCCCTTTGGGGCCCATAGCTTACGCCTCAAGCCCTTTCAAAATGTGAACTGAGCACTAGCGCTGTCTCTGTGCAACATATTTTCATCCAGCAACCTGAAAAGTTTCTTCCCAGCCCAAACAGCCGTCAACAACAGAAGTTTCTTGAGAAGACACTCATGAGTGAGGAATTGTGCGAAGAACACTTGGGAACTGAGTTGTTCTAGGATCACTGGTATCAACGATTTCATTTCTGCAGCACTGAAGTAGATTTGCAGAGATCCGAGCATTTTTTGAGCATCCCGCACAAAAACCAAGTGATCAATTCTACGGTGCAACCCACACCTCTTCTGGGCATGCTTCCTGTTATAGACCGGCAGGCCGGGTCCACTTCAGTGCCACCAAATTGTTCCGGGAACACTGCACTGAGCTTTGCAGAAGCTATCCAGCAAGAGGCTCGATGCAAAGGCGTCAAAGTCAATGTGTTTGGACTTCGTTTTGCAAGCATTGCACGTTTTGTACTCTGGAAGTTAACCCTGGAAATACCAGTGCCAATTCCACTAAAAGCAGAGGTCAGGTTTTGTCTCAAGCAGATTTGGCTGTGCGTCATGAGATTTTTAATCCCTTGCTGTGATGTGCATGAAAGTAACCTGGGACCACAGGAACACTTTCGAAAGGTCTTGTCGCGGAGATGCAAAGACTTTCATAAGGAGGTCAATGATTGCTGCGCTTTAGCCAGGGCTTTGCTCCGAAAGATGATCGGCGCAGTCGAGGCTGATTTGGGAACCCTGGCCGAGCGCGTGCGCCTGGCCGAGAAGCACGAGGCACTCCTTTCAGCTCCTCCGAAGGAGGAGGAACTACACACGCTCGAGGATCTATATAGCTATGCGCGAGATTTGCATGAAGATAACCTTGAAAAGGAACGGCGCTTGGAGCGGGAGCAAAGGACCCAGCAACGCCGTTTGTCAGGGCATTCCGAAGTTGGACCAGCTGGATCTGCCGCCCTTGAAGAAGCCAAAGCTGCAACAGCTGTCAGCAGGAAAAATGTCCAGCGCGCAGAGCAGGAGTTTCATAGGAAACTCATTGACTTTGTACGGATCAAGCAAGCACCTTGGGGCCTACCAGAGTTGAGGCTGAAGGTTGACGATGAACACCTTGATACCGTGGATGTCTTGACTCCGGGCCGGCGCTGTTCCGACTACGAGGAGCTCCTGCCCTTGGCTGGCAGCAGCAGCACCATCTTCACAGCCAAGTATAACGAGGAGGCTTGCGTTCTGAAGGAATTACGCTCCATGACACAGTCTGGGGCCTTGAGAAGGGAGGTACTACATCGAAAGAAGCTGAAACATCCTTTGATTGTTCCAGTTTTGGCTGCCTTTGAAGAAGAGGATAAAGGCAGATTCATAGCGTATGTCCACATGCCACGCTACTCTTGCAACTTGGAGGAGTGGTGCTCTTCTGAAAGTTGCACCCTTCCCAAGATGTGCCAGGTCTTGCGTGATTTGGTACTGGTTGTCACTTATGTGCACAGCCACCATGTGGTTCACGGTGATTTGAAGCCATCAAACTTTCTCATGGATTCCGACGATCATCCATGTTTGACTGACTTTGAAACGAGCCAGTGTTTGGACGCGCAGTCACTGCATTCACGCAGAACTACTTTAGTGGTGGGAGCAAGCCAAGGCTATATGCCACCAGAGTTTCCAAATCTCACTGCCGCCTCGGACATCTACTCTTTGGGTTGCATTTGCGATCATTTGCTCCAGTGCTGGGCCCAGAAGTGGCCGCAAAATGCTGCTGAGCAACGCAAAGCACTATCCACAGTTGTGGCAAAGATGCAGCGTCACGAAACGGATGATCGGCCACCAGCTGTGGAGGTCTTAGAGGACATGACCAGTGCCATGAAGGCTGAGACTGTGGAGATGTCACTGCCGCTCTACTGGAGAAACTCTGCAGAATTGAGTTATGACAAATATGAGGTTCTGAAGGAAGATTTGGCAGAGTGGAATGGGCTCACAACGTTCCAACAGTTGGAGCATGCACTGCTTCGCACAGTCCACGATTCGTGTTGCTTGTCCTATCTTCTTGGTTTGGCCGAGTGTTGTGATTTTCTTAGATTTGTCTTCCCCTCACAGGTTTGTTGTTCCAAAATTCCAAAGGATAGAGTTCTGCGCGGTGAGGTCTAAACCGCATCTTTGGAAATACATTGCCACGCATTTCATTTGTACAGAGAGTGGAGAATCCAAAGCTGTGGCGTCGCTATTGCCTTGCCAAAGAACAAGTGACGGGGGCCATGTTTGCACCAATCAGCCCCCCAGTTCGGCCAAGCTGCCCGATGATTGACTTCAGCAGAAATGAGTATTGGCTGTGGCATGGGACCCGACAGAGCAACATCGATGCGATTCTAGAGGAAGGCTTGGATGAACATCTCAGCCGCCTCGAAGGTCTTTATGGTGCTGGGATCTATTTTTCCGATGAAGCTTGCAAAGGGTTGCAATACTCCGATCCTGGTTCTTGCTGTTTGTTGTTCTGCAGGGTGGTCTTGGGAAGGCCATACTACACTAAGAACACGTTGCCATCAATGCGAAGTCTAAAAGAATTGAAAAGCCGACAAGGCTTGCTCGAGAGACTTGGACTGAGATGGGAATGGATTACTCAATAGAAGAGGTGCCACTTCACCATTTAGCTTGCTACTTTGTTTGCGTATCCATTTCTTTGGGGATTAAAGGCTAGATTCTATATTGACAGACGGCTGCTCCATACTCAAAGTAGAAATCAAGAAATGGACTGCGTGTACTTTGTGTGCTGCAGTGGTTGTTTTCAAGTTTCTGAGGACGCCAGATGTAGCTGGACACCACTCGGTGATTGTCAACCCTGGTCCAGTGCAAAACCATCCCAATGCGAACGGAGAGCAGGTGCACCGTGAGTTTGTGATATTTGATGGTGCTGCAGTTTATCCTGAGTATGTGGTGGGGATCAACCAATGAGCATCAACGAGAATGCAAGCTGATCATACTGGGGCCTGTGCAGCATGTAGACGCATGGTAGCTGACATCGATATTGTACAGCCAATGCCAACAATGTCAGCTCTTTGGCGGATAGCTTTGTATTTGCAGCGGAAGTGCCGGCAGCCGCAGAAAAATAATCACACAGATACTTCAATTGGCTTCATTGACTCTTGAGACCTGATCGAGAATGGTCGCAAATGAAGCAATGACTGTTTTTCATTTCCTTGCAAGACTAGTGGCAGAAAGGCTCTGTTTTGTGTCAGTTGCATGCATAGCTTTGACCAAAGTTGTTTAAGAGGATTGTCATGAAAGACCATCTTGAACAACTTGCGGCTTGAGGCTGCGAAAAGCAACCCAAGAGACTACATCACAGCCTCATCTGTTCAACTGAATTTGCTTGACCGCTTTGTTTTCTCCTACATTTTCTTTGTCTTTGGAAGACAGATCTGTTTTGTGCTTGGCTTGTGTTATTTTAATCGTAGCTTTCGTTGACTTGCGGTGGGAGGAGCGTTCGTGACTTCTTTCGTGGCATCGATTCATGAGAGTTCTTGCGAGTTACATGGCAGACTATATATAAAGTGTTGTCCTTTTTGAGGATGTGCTTCGCCCTCCCCAATACCTCCTGCCAGCCTTTCTTTGAATGTAACAAGCAGAACCCAGACCTAGAAACTCAGAACCATACCGGCAGATATCCCAGAAAACCAACCAGAGCCAAGTGCACCCAAAGACTCTGTTTTTTTTGCGTATTTGCGTACATGGCCGGATGTGAACCTTGCCTTCACAAACAAATGAACTTTATGTTTCCGCACTTTGCCCGACTTGTGTCCTTGCAGACAAGCCGTTTGGCAATCCTTCGATACCATACTTTCCCTTGGTGGGTTTCCTTTTCTCTTTTCCTCATTGAACTTTCATGATCACCATGCTTCGCATAGGACAATTGTCTTGATGGCCCTTGTAACCTTGGAATCTTCTTGCAATGCCTTCTGTCTCAGTTTTTTCTGTTTGGCGGTCCCTTGTGTTTCCTGTTGTATATGGAGCTCCAATGAACACAGTCAATATACCTTGTGCACGAGAGCTGCTTTTCGCGAAGATTTTGATTCCTTTGATCACTTGGTGTACAATTGTCTCTTGTTTTTTCCTTTCCAGGTTTCGTTTTGATTTCGCACTTGCAATGCAGCCAAGAAACAACCGTTTTCTTTGCTATGGTTTTTAGGCCTGGTAAGCTTCAACATCATGTGATGTAATGGGACATGATTTTGGATGCTCGGGTGTGCTGGCTCTACAGTCACTTACGCATTCACGATCAGAACAATCAAACATTAAATAATATAAACATACCACTTACCACTGTGTACATTGAAGCCTAACTTGTTCCTGTGAGAACTACTCTTCTTGCGATACATATTTGCCCTCTCCATGTTGCTTCCAGCAGTGTTGTTGCTGCAAACCGCGTGGCTTACGTCTGCAGCTGCAGACACCCTGCACATCACAGAAGATGACGATGAATGTTTCTCAGAAGGAGGTTGCGCCTTGAATGCCTTGCAAGCTCGTGCTCTGAGCATTTCTGGATCATCCAAAGAGGCGGAAGATGGAATACCTGGATTGTTGGACCCAGACATTTCCGATGTGTTGCCAGACCCTGATGGTGACACCGATTCACCTGATGGTGAGGAAGAAACTTCGCATTCAGGATCAAACCTTTGTAGTGGAGAAACGTTTGACAGGTCCAAGGAAGGCTGTTGCGCTGGGGCATTGTATGACCGAGTGTCAGAAGGATGCTGCAACGGAGACATTTACAACGTGGAACATGAAGATTGTTGTGGAGGAAAAGAGTCTTATGACACCAGAACTCAAGGTTGCTGCAACAACAAACATGTTTTTGACCTTGGTGAAGAGTTTCTAGTCTTTGGGCTGAAATGTTTGAAGCCGTTGGAGCCTGAGGATAGGAAAGTCTCATTTAATTGTACCGATGAGTGGCCACCAAAGAACTATGCAACAGTTTGGCAGCGGTATTGCGCTGCACAATCTGAAGGGACTCACATGGCTTGGGCGATGACCCCATCATGCCAGGTTGGGTGGCTCTCAGTCAAGCAACCTTCAGTGGCTGATGCTGAGCAGAAAGCGGTGAGCCAGTGTCAAACGAGAGCCTCATCCTACAACGATGAATCATGTCATGTCTTTGACCTTGACGGCAGCCTTTGCTCACGTCAACGCTGTGGCACAACACTTTATGATGCGACCATGCTCGGTTGTTGCAACGGTCAGATCTTCGACACTCGAACGCAAGATTGCTGTTCCGGCCACATTTACAACACCGAAACAACTGGATGCTGCAAAGGACGCCTGTTCAAAAAGGAACCTCGACGATGCTGCGGTGACAAGTACCTCTTCAACAGCAATACTCATGGCTGCTGTACTGAAAATGGGCCGCAGGTCTTTCGATTTGGTTCTCAAAATTGCTGTGCTGCCCCCAAGGGAACTTGTCGAATTCCGCCTGGAATTGAATCTTGCTGCAGAAAGGAAGGACATTGGAGCGCTTCGCGCTAAGAGTTCTCAGCTGAAGTGGAAAAGTCACCGGTGCACACATTTTTGGCACAATAAAGTTTCCAGTCCTCCAAGAGAGTTGATAGACAGCCATGCACCTGTAGCTTGTGGCTTTTCCTCAAGAAAGCATCAGAAGACATCCCATGCAGCAATCTTGGAAAGTGGGAAGCAACTGTAGGCTGAGGCTGTGTACTTTCAGAAAACGTTCTTTAGCTTTGCAAATACTTTGGTTTTAGGTCTTGGGTAAATAAGACATTTTTCTACAATTTTCGCCATGCTTGGCAAGTCAAACTCTTGGTCAAGCAGCCATAGGCACGGCCATGAATGCTGGGACCAGCTTTTTACATTTCGACAAACTTGTGCTCCAGGCTTCTTTGCTTGTGCTTTCTCTTTGCGGCGTGGCATTGAGCTTAGCTGTGATGTGAGTATTGTTCATGATTTTTGGCTCGGCGAAGGAATTGGCACGGCTTTCATGGCTTCCTTGGTGGAAAGACCATCTCCAGAGGTATTCAGCTCATGTATCTCTTTGGCAGTTGCTGTTGCATTGTCGCTGAGCCAGGTAGTAGGCCAGCAGTGCTCGGCTCCCAAGTCTTTTTTACTTTTCCAGCATTCGTTGCAACTGGAGTCAAGCGGGATTTCCTAAAGCTTCCATCTCCATGTCAATGAGGGTGCCAAGAGCATGATTTTTCAATGCAGATGCTAGGTATGTTTTCTGCAAGACCTGTGTGCAGAGGAGGCCCTCTAAATCTGTGCGCGGTGCTATGCCACAAGAGCGCAAATTCAGCAATGAACGTTTGCGCGTTGGTTACTCAGATTCCATGATGCCGTGTGACAACTGTAGACAAGGCCTTAAAAGTCAGACAAAGAGAGGAGAAAAGAGCCAGGAGTAAGGAAGGAGTGAAACTTCACAAGCTGATCGTGGACATAGCAGCTCCGAGGCTGAAACCGAAGATCCCTTTGCCAAGGCTCGCTGTTTTCCTGTTTTTGCTACTAGTAACAAAGGGCATCGCTACCAGGAGCAAGGACGCTACTAGTAGCTCCTGGCCTTACTACTAGGAGCAAGAAGCTACTAGGAGCAAGGCAGCTCCACGCTTGCCCTCAGGTCAAAGTCGCCTTGTTTGGATTCTTCACGGTCCAAGCCTAGATTCGTCACTGAAATGTTTCATTTCCTTTTGTCATGGGATTTCCCAACATACAAAGACTTAGTTATTAGTTACTGCCAAAGTTGCTGTGCATTTGGCTTGAGGCCTTCTACTGCCCAAATCATGAGACCAAAATGATTCTTAACACAGACAAAAGTGTCCAGCGCAGCCATTTTCTGAACACACCGAAATAGAGGAATGTGTGGCCAGAAGCCATCGTGGAGAGCCCTTCAAAAGGCCCCAACCCAAAGCACTGTGAAAGTTGCATTCTTTGCTCTCATGGAAAGTGTTGGATTGTTTGCCCCCCAAAACCACCATTTTCTCTTCTCTTCATGCGATGCCTATGTTCCTGCTTGATCTTATACTTGCAGCGTCCAGTTGCCTTAGCGAGTGGGGACACTTATCCAACGGCCACTTGGTGCAGCAAAAATCATATCATACAATGATAATAGAAACGCTGTTTTGAGGTGTGTTAACCATGATCCATTGTCGTAATGATCATAGCACGGTGCTGAGATATTTCGTTGCAGGTCGATCAGCCAAAGTTCTGGGACGAAGTGTACGAGCGGCAGACTGATAGGGACATCTATGAGTGGTATGGTCTCGGTCATGAGCTCGGCCATGAATCGGTCATAAGTCATGACTCTTTGTTTATTCTTTGGCAATCCAGAAAAGAGTCGTGCCATGAGGCTATGAACAATTGCAATCCTACTTTTTGGATGCTCTCTTGCAGCCCACCTTCTCAAGCCCGCCACCAGTGACAAGGACATCGTTCGCTGCGTCAAGGGTCAAGGTTCTTCAATCTGCATCAAAGTCAAAAACTCTCTGTTTGTTCGCAGCTGCAACACTGGGTCTGACAGGCCCAATACTTTGGCTTGAGGAAGTAGATCAGGTCGCACTCTAAATCAAACCTCGAGTCACATTATTTCTATTATCTTTGCATACGTTCAAATCTATTTTGCTGTTCTTCTTTGGCTCGAAAGAAATAGGCAACAAGAATGTGTTGTTTATGTTGTATGCGTGCAGAGACACTGAAGCTGCTGTTTTCAGAACTGTTGTAGATCCAGCCAATTGTTGTGCCCTAAAATCAGCTGGTGTGAGACCTTTGCCGGCAGCGCAAGCTACAAGTGGCTGGTGCACAAGCAGTATTTATATGCATATTTTTGGCAGACAGCTGTAAAAGGCTGACTGAGGTTTTAAAGACGATACCTGCTCAAAACAATTTCCTTACTGTAAGTGAAAAATAGTTTGTTTCTATATCATATCATACTTATTCACGCCCCAGACATAGTTGACAGAACTTTGGAGCACACCCAGTTCTTCCTATCATTCATGCATTCTTCATCCAGCCCTTATGCTTTCCATAAGATACAGACATATAAGTTGGTGAAAACACAGAAGTGAGACCTCCAAGCAAACTCGCAAAATAGAAGCAGCAAGTAAGAGTTTCCAAGAACAACTCAAACAAAGTCGAACAAACCGGAAGAATCTGACTATGCCAATATGCCCAACACTCCTGGAACCTACCAGTGAAGAAGCTTTTTCCACACAGTCCGACACAGCACATAGAGTGTGAAATTGCCGGTGATGGAGAATCTACAGAGCTAACCCGCACAGAAGCATCACCAGTATCACTGTGCTTTTTCCCCACATCTCTGTGTGGGGTTCTAGTTTTGTTGGCTGCCATCCCGCCCGCATCCGCCCTTCCTTCCTTCCTTCCTTCCTTCCTTCCTTCCCTCCCTCCCTCCCTCCCTCCGTCCTCCTCGCTCCCTCCTCCACTCACTCGCTCGCTCGCTCGCTCACTCACTCACTCACTCACT